TAAACATTTTTCTGAAGAAATATTAAATAAATTGATTTGTTAATGCAGGTACTAAAATATAAATTAATCACGATAAATATATTCTTGTCAATTGTACAAAAATTTACGAATTTCATTAACGCCTAAGGAGTATATAAAATTAATAGAAATCTTACAGAATGTTGGACTAAAGAAACGTAGTGGAAAATAGTCGTTACTTACCCTAATAATTAATGCTTAATTAAATAATTAATATTTGATTCAAAATCAAATAAAAATTAAATAATTATTACCTGATTAATTAATACCTGATTGAATGATTCAAAATTAAATAATTGATACTTAATACTGTTTAATGTACCAAAACTTTAAAACTCACCTACAAACCATTAAAAACTGCTTCTCCATATCTTTGATCTCTTTATTCCTAGAAAATGTCGAGTCTATCCACCTGTTTCTTCCATGAAATATTTCCCCATTTAAACAGTGCATATCCAACGCTACTTACAGTATACTTAAAGCTACACTGGTTCAGAGGAGTATGGGAAGCAACGAGCACGTTGCAGAGGAAACAATGAATCCACAGGTCTGTGAGAACGGCGTGAAACGTTTATTCGAGTACATATAAATACATAACGAGCGATAATTAATTAAACAGTTCGCGGTGTCTGAAAGCAACACAACGTCAACGTTTTTTCCCTCGCGCCATAAAAATAATTGTAACATACTTGAACGATCGCATCGAAAGGTGTCACCGTGGCACGAGGTTGTGCTAACTGCAATTTTTTGATCAATAACAATATTATGTGTACGCTGATGTGCGAGTTCTTGTGCTTCCCGCCTTCGTTTCAATACATTTGGTCCCGCGAAACTTTCAGACGAGATTGAATCGAAACGAGTGAACACGAACAACGAAGGAACGAGACACAAATAAATTATCGGTGGTTTCGATTCACTAATATAAGACACGAGTATTCGAAATTAAAGTTCCTGCTCTGTTTCCCTTATCTCTGTACGTTTGGGTCATTTTGTCAATTGAGAGAACAAAAATTATACAATTCGACTAACACTGAGCCCTGCCGTTATTAAAGAACAGGATTAGTTAGTGCCATTATCATTTGACAGTATATGTTCGAAGAAGGATACATAGATACATATTTTTGTGCAGTCAGAGTATTTCACAGTCCTTGCGCTACATGCTATCATTTACTTTTTACAACATTTTATACATAGAGATACCTTAAGCCAGTATATGTGGTATTAACAAGCATCAGAATGCTTCACAATGATTTCTGTGGTTATTTTTAAGCCTCGCCAATGGTATATTACACTCACAATTCTTTCCTGATTATACGTGGTAGATACCTGGCTTGGGTATCTACTCTTGTGTATGAGCTGGAAATATAAGCAGTAGTTTTAATTACATTGACTGGAATAGTAATAATAACAATGATCGAAGTCAAGAAAACCTGCACCATAAAAAATTAGTGTACTCTTTAAAATGTTGCTCGTACCTAACCCCCTGTTTATTGTTACAGTCTATTTAAGCTATAAAAATATTGAACACCCTATAGATAAGTAACGTTCCGTTCGTTTTTATACAAAGTAAACGATTTGAAAATGAAACGTAGAGAATAAAGTTCTTTCCCTGTTTTAAAACTTGGAGTTTTGCAAATTGAAACTCGCAAATTTTAAAAGATCGAAATTCCAGTTACAGGTACCCGGCTATAATACATACATACACGCATAATCGAAAACGCCAATGTTTATTTGCACAAATTTAATTTCATTCCCTAGTTAGGCTAGCGTATTGCTATTTCGTATTCTTTAAAATTGAGGCTATGACCAAGAAAACCATGATCGACTAGACTGCGTGGGGGATTTAGGTACTGGCGAAGATGGTATCGATGTGTTTGGTGTAGTAGGTGTCATGGATTTCTCATTTTCCTGAGTTCTGAGCCTGATTTTCTCATTGGTCTCTGCTTGCATCTTTTGCTCATACTGCCGAACATCCTCCAATGTCATATCATACCACTCATCGATCCATGTAAATGCTTGTCGATGGCCCAACAATAAAATATCTCTTATACACTGTAGTGGTAGAAAATGACAATTTATAGTTACATTCACTTCCCTTATATGTCTAACTTAATATGGTTAACAGCAATAATTACTCTATGAATTAACTCTTCCACTCTAGTTTGCATGCCCCAAACTTCAAAAGAAGCATGAACTAATTTATAAGAACACATTATGGGTTGTGTTGTTTCCCGCCATCCCTCTACTAATGGTCCACGACCAGTTCGTTTGGACTGAAAATATTTTGGATCCTACAAGTAAAGTGTATGATCTAAAATTCTGTCACTGCATCTCTAAGTGGAAAGGAAAAAATATAAGGCACTACTCAAAATACCTCTTCCTCTTTGTAATGCTTTGCAGAGATTTCATCATATGCAATGTCTACAAAATCAACCTCACGATGTATCAGCTCGATAGGGGAAAGACCTAAGCACTGTTTTAATCATGGTATAACTAAAATTAACATCCTTTTACTAAATAAAACACTACAACAATTTACATACATTTTCTGTAGACCCATTATTATCCTCGTATACAGTCCTTATTGATATTTGGAACTTAGGAATGAAAGAACACTAAAATACATAGTTTTATGTTTTATGTAACAGGTAATTGGAGATCAACCTGTGATATAGATACTTACAGTATATTCTTCAATGACCATAAACAACATGCAAATAAATATGATATCATTAAATTTAAATGTTATTTTATAAGACAAATATTAATAAACATTTATCAATATCTTTATTTATACCTGTGATAGTAAAAGGATAATAATTCCATGCCTTTTCCGTTACATAAAATACTTTTGGAAGGAATGACTGAATCCAATAGGGTAATTTACTACAACACAACACAAAGTGAATGAAAAATCTATTTCCATAATATTTTAAAGTTACAAAATATATTATAATATATATCTAATTATTATCACCTAGACAAATGAATCCTTTTCTCCGTATACTGGCCCTTTCCATGCTCAGCATCATCACATTCTACATTTTCAATCACCTCAACTCCTTCATCATTAGCTGATTGCTCATGGCTATGCCTTGCAATCATGTAAAGTTGCCCTATTCGATACTATGAAAGATTCAATGGTGATTAAAACAGTAATCATAATACCAATAATATTATGAAGATTTAGAACTAGAAGTCCAAACACAATATTGATCA